GTGATGGGACTACTATCTACAAATTTTGAAGCGTCACCACTCACATGTGAGATGAGTCGCACCGGGTGTTACCCATTTTGACGCCTAGAGAACTTTGGCTTCCCATATTCTATTATCTGAGGAAACTTTTGGACCAAGCAACACACGCTCTTAATTCCATCAGACGCCTTACAGTAGTAATACTAATATCCCAAGGATCGGCAGATGAGAGATAAGTACTTAAAAGTGTAATATTATTCAAACCAAAGTTTGAAGGCCATAATCAGTGGTTGAGGATGAACACTTAATAGGTCTAACAGGAACTACATCCTACACATTCTAGAGGCGGTTAATAAAACCGCTCGTATTGGCGTCACGCTTCAAAAATAGTCGTCCGAAACAGAGTTCAGCGCCCCCTGTGCCACTGATGGCCGGACAAGTTATGACTACAGCTGTGGAGATGGGTAAAATGCGGGACACAAGGCAGAGCATCAAACATAGAACACCGCTTTGTGGAATCAAGTCAACGCATGCGCGACACTTTGGTAACCCAAAGGACTAAATTAGAGAAGATTGGTTTAGAAGTCCTAACCTGTAGATATTCCACCACCTTGCGCCTGTCTAAAAGATGTCCAATACTTGCGATCGGCTAAAAACATTTATGAACCAGTTTAGCGTGGAAAGACGTACTGACCCCACACTATCCAATGAGCTTCAGAAAAAGCCTGCCCCAGCTCATCACCAAAGCTGAAACAGAATGCCAGCCCATCTGTTCAGCTTCCTTAAGGCTCACAGCCTCCATCTCCCCAGTTAAACTTGTCAAGTGGACAGTCTTAGGACTTGCTCTAGCGATTTCGGTCAGCTAAGATACGATTGACCATTAAGCAACTCGTAAAGAGGCAAACTGCCAACTTTGGATCCTTACGAGCAAGGTCCCGAAAAGTTAAACGTTTAAGACCAAGACAAAATAAACGGTGCAGAAGAACACTTTTAATCAGTGGACCTCTTCCCACGAGGTTCAAAAAAAGGGTAGCTCCTGCTTCCTTGATCCCATGGATTGCTCCGCACGGGGTGCAGTCTTGCCCATTAGAAGGCGGGACAACTCCTCACTGAAGTAGCGATAAAGCACGGTGACTGCGCGTGGCGAGCCTGTTTCCACACCAGCGTCCCCCTCTTCTTCATCATCACTGCCTGTGGCACCAAGGCTGCTATTACTTCCGTTAGTCTCACCAAACACCACTCTATTAATGTGCGTGGAGGCGCGGCTGGGAGAGAAAACACTAGAGGTGGCGAGGTCCTGTTGACTGCTTCGTCGCATCGCTAGCAATGAATCTTCTAAACTGAAGGGTATTTTGGGGTTTTTATGTGCACCTTTAACTATCATATTGTCAATCCAAACGACAAGGAGGCGATAAAGGTAGCGCAGTTGTGCCTGAAAGAGACAAAACCAAAAATTGGTCAAGCTTTTATCAAGTTGTGCGGGAGTTTCTGTAACAGAGGAATACATAAGCAATGGGGCTATATTTCTGCGTTAAGGAAAACTAAGAACATGCCTTAGCTGGAAAGTCTAGCAAATATATAATCCTAATGGATGAAAATAAGGCATGTTCGTCATCGCAACCTAATTGGAGTCACATAAGCCAGCTGATTTTTCGCAGAAAGAGCTCAAACTCCAGATAAATGCCAATTAAATTCGTTTGTACGCCATCAATGCTAGGACTTGATTTTCTATTTTACAACCTGGAAAGGTAAAAGGCTCTAGTCGAGATCAGTGGTAAGGCATGGATGAAGTCGATGAATGAGCGGTTGAAGACAAAATATTTAGACTTTTGTGTG